ATATCTATATATATCTAATCTAATCTAATCTAATCTTGTCTAATCTAATCTAATCTAATCTATCTATCTATCTATTTATCTATCTATCTATCTATCTATCTATCTATCTATCTATCTATCTATCTATCTATGTGTGTATTCGTTCGGGAGAGACACATACTTAACGCATAGGCTGGCTTCCCTCTGCGCTAAGCTGATCGTCAAACCACGAGGCAGCAGGGCTCATCATGTTCCATTCTTGGTATTGAGTTTTGGTCCAAAAACAAGACTGCTGGGTATACCCAAAAGATCCCAAAAGGTCTAAAACATTAAAACGTGTTGAATCAATTTGACACTTCCAATCAAGGTTGTGTTGATGAGTGGCGCAAAGCAGCTCGAAAGCACCATGTTTTTTCAAGGCCTCAAATTTGCTGAAGAACCCGGTCTCCAAAATCCCCATCCCATTCTTGTTTGGATCTATTTAAAACGGACACTTTTCAGGCTTCCAACACCCCAAGGGGCCCCCAAGGTGGCCATGGAACTCGAAACTCCAATGGCCCTTTTAGCTGTTTCCTGGCTAAAGCAGCTGCCTCAACCCGCTGAGACACCTGGCGTCTACAAACGAGGCCAGGGCCCAGGGCCGGATCTTCCAGGTATAACATATACCAACCAAGGTTTTAACCATGTCCATCAACTATTTTCCAGTATAATATGTTCCAGTATAATATTTCCCAGTATATTCTGGAATCAGATAATCATATTGTAATATAGTAATATTATATACTATTCAACTGTGTTTATATAGCCATTATAACTCAGGTTCTCTTATTTAACCATGTTTCGGCTCGCCTTCACAGGATCCGTCACAGGCGTCGGCAACTTCTCCACCGTTGGCGCTGGCGGGACGGCTGTGGCGCCCACCTAGGTGAGTGGTGGGGCGTCAGACTTTCATGGGGTTATCTATGTACACCCAATACACCCAATGTACATGATATATTACTGTAGTACCCACCTACCCATTTGGCTAGTGTTTAGATGTCTTCTATAAGTGTTGATTGGGATGAAATGCCCTGATTTAATTACTCGACATCTATCTGATTTGGGTAATGTTTATTGAGAGTTGATCTGCCAAATGCATAGGTTGGGTTCGAATTCATAGTTCGATCACGTTTATATAATATCCACAATCACCAAATTATGCACCGGATGTGGCATGTCAATATCATACATTCAGATGTGGCTTAGACGCTCTTGATAGATTCACCTTGATGATTCTGGATCAGTTCAAATGTCCTTGCTCGGAAACATAGCTATTTTTGTCATCATGAATACAGTGAATTTGTATTCACAAGATGATGGTTTATATCACCTCCCAGAAAAATGGAAGAGTAAATCCTACCAAAACACTGATAAATTGCTTCACTATCTTTTCAGGGGTTAATATACTATCACAAGAATGTTTTACTTTGAGCGACCCCATCAACTGACATACGTCATATGTTCTGACCTTCTACCTAACATTTTATCTACTATTCTATCTGACACATATTCTGACATAGAGTCTGATGACTTATTTCACGCTCGATCTAACACACACACACACATATATATATATATATATATATGTATGTATATATATATATAGTGTATGTAGGTATCCCTCAGTTTCCTGACTTAAATTATATATATATACCTGTTGATCCATTTTTTGCTGGTTAAATCCGTTTTCTCTGCCTTTCTCCCACACTTCAAATGCTTCCGCACCTTGTCGGAACCTGCGGTCTGGGGGTCAGCGGCTTGCGCTTGGCTGCCTGGGACCGAGGACCAGGTGTTGGCGATGGAGATTGAACGAAGTCATGGGTAAATGTAGATCATCACCAACAGATTGGATATACTATGGTACATACCTATGTAAGTACATACCTACGTATGTATTCACAATTGTTGATGTACCAATAATAGATCATCACCAACCACCTGAGACATACAGCAAAAATGGATCATGCACCGATCAAAGCAATTCTCTATTCCTATAGGTAAAATCCTAATTCCTATTTGTGCTGGTGAAAATCTCACTGTTTGATCATGCAGGAAATTTTGAGAGTGGGTTGCTGGTAAAACGTCCAAAATTTGCTCATAAAATCTCAATTCTTGCTGATTAAGCCCTACTGTTTGGTGTTGATATATATATATATATTATTATTATTACTATTGATATTATTATTATATATATATATGTAGACACACATATATATATATATATGAAGACACATATATATATATATGTAAATATATATATATATATAATTATGTATATATATAATGTGTATATATATATATATGTAGACACACATATATATATATATAATTATGTATATATATATAATTATGTATATATATATATAATTATGTATATATATATATTTAATGTATATATATATATAGCATATAGGCTAAGCAGGCTTAATCCGTGTTGTAAAACCAACCATTTCTGCCAGTGAACACCCTATCCCCTGCCGCTTCCCTGCGGCTTCGCCTTGGAAGTTGGAAAGTGCGCGCCGGCCATCTGCGTCCAGAGGCTCCAGCAACACATCACCTGGTCCAATGGTGGATTTCTAGGGATTTTTCATGGGAATATCATGGGATTTGATGGGAAAATCACCATCTGTTTAGCTATCACATAGCTAGTCGGCTAGTTCGATGATTTGCCTAGGAAAGATATGGTGATTTGCCTGTGGATGTTCCATAGCCATGTTGAGTTCCTAGAGGGTAGATGGGAGATGCGATGGCTTGGGACATCTATTTTACTTGTGATGCTCCAACAAAGGCTGAAACAGTGAACTTATGACTACTACGTACTACTAGGTTGCGGCACCTAGATCTGCACTCTGGCGGCCACTGAACATCAGAGTCAATACATATGAGCTGTTGGAAATAAATAACATCAAACACATATGTTTACTAGCAACTCACCATAAATAGACGAGTATGCTCCTAATAAAATCGCTAATCATACAGTACTATCCTGTTTGGGTTTCTATATTTGGGACAAAACCACACAAAGGGTACGGGTATGGGTGAGAAACGAACAAAATTAAAGGCCTAGGGAAGCACAAACAAATGTCCTCCTTTTGCAGTATTCATCATTTATTCTTGGGTGGTACCCAATTTTAGCCAAACTTAAATGTTGAAACAACACTCCGGCAACCTCCAAACATAGCTCATGATGATCTGCAGATACTATCCTGAAAAATTGGCTCCTTCATTTGGGATTTGTCTGAAAATAGTATGTATATATATACATACACAGTATATATGTACTGTATATTATACTGTACATATATATATATATATCTATATACTGCATATACATATCCATATCTATATATGGTATATACCCATATATATGGTATATATCCATATCTATATATGGTATATATATATATATGGTACATATATATATATATATATACGGCAAATGCCTGGGTTCTGCCCGGACCCGCAACGACGACCGGCGACGCATCATCATCATCATCATCATCATCACCATCATCATCATCATCATCATCAACCAAACCCTTATTGGAGATCTTCAATGAATGTAGAAGGTTCACGGGGGTGGGAGAATTAAACCCTTATTGAAGATCTTCAATGAATGTAGAAGTTTAACGGGGGTGGGAGAATTAAACCCTTATTGAAGATCTTCAATGAATGTAGAAGTTTAACGGGGGTGGGAGAATTAAACCCTTATTGAAGATCTTCAATGAATGTCGAAGTTTAACGGGGGTGGGAGAATTAAACCCTTATTGAAGATCTTCAATGAATGTAGAAGTTTAACGGGGGTGGGAGAATTAACCCTTATTGAAGATCTTCAATGAATGTAGAAGTTTAACGGGGGTGGGAGAATTAAACCCTTATTGAAGATCTTCAATGAATGTAGAAGTTTAACGGGGGTGGGAGAATTAAACCCTTGTTGAAGATCTTCAGTGAATGTCGAAGTTTAACGGGGGTGGGAGAATTAAACCCTTATTGAAGATCTTCAGTGAATGTAGAAGTTTAACGGGGGTGGGAGAATTAAACCCTTATTGAAGATCTTCATTGAATGTAAAGTTTAACGGGGGTTGGAGTTTAATATTCCCTAATACCGTTTTTGTTTTTCCCATAGGAATTTCGGGTGTTTTGACCCTTTTTTTTAAATAGTCCCTAGTACCTTTGCTGTTTTTCCCATAGGAATTTAAGGTTTAATGGGGGTGGGAGTTTAACATTCCCTAATATCTTTGTTGATCTTCCTAATTGAATGTTAAGTTTCACGATTTGAGAGTTTAAAATTTCCTAGTACCTTTTCTGTTTTTCTCATAGAAATTTCAAATATTATGCTGTTTTTGTTTTTCCCATAGGAATTTCGGGTGTTTTGACCTTGTTTGTTTAATAGTCCCTAATACCTTTGTCATTTTTCCCAAAGGAATTACTGAAAGTTGCAATATCATTTGTTTGTGAATTGTAGATATATACGCTGCAACGCCTGGGCAGAACCCAGGCGTTGCGCGTATATATATATATATATATATATATATGGTGTATATACATACATATTATGTATTCCCAAGTCCATCTTCATTTTCCCCATGGATTTGGCTCCCCTTTGGATGTCCAAGGTGCCGCCAAGGTCTTGAACCAAGGCCCATGCCTCTTCGTCGCCCACCTGGGAATTTGTCGCGGTTCGCCATCAGGATTTCGTGACGGAGCAGTGGTTATAGAGAATACAGTGGTTAATGCATGGTTAATTCATGGAGAATTGATATTTACCATAATAAATGGTTAATGAATGGTTAATGAATGACCATAATTAAGCATTCAAAACATATAACCATTGTAAAAGCCATTCTTAAGCCATTAAATGCCGTTCATATCCAAGGACAACAACAAAAAACATCAAACAAATCCACCTAACCCTCTTCTCCAGTTCCGACCTTCTTGCGAGAGCTCTCTTCAAAGCGAAGCCAGAGGTACCCTGCCACCTGAGCTCGGCAATGACGAGTGGAGTGGAGCTGGATGAGCACCTGAGTTTTTTGATCATTCTCGATTATCATTATTAGTGTACATATTGTATCAACCTATATGTTGTACAATAATGACACATATTAAAACACATTAACATATATATATATATATACATATTGTTTTGATGATGATGATGATGAGGATGATGATGATGATGATGAGGATGATGATGATGAGGATGATGATGAGGAGTTTTTTTTTCGTGTTTTTCCATCCTCGAGAACCCCCCCTGCAAAGCATCCACTGAGCCTGGCACTCTGTGCGGAGTACCCATCAGCATACGTCCAGCCACCACCACTCCCACCACCTGTCCCCATAGCTTGGCAAACCAACAACAAGGGCAACCTAAGTACTGTTCACTAGCAGCCATGGTTGAAAACCCCAAAAGTCACCAAATAGATTGAAAACAACAACATAGCTTCTGGTACGTAATTTAAGATAGCTATTGCTATGGAAAATTTCGTGTTTTTTAAAGAGAAAAACCTTCAAACTAAATGGTCCATGGTTTCCATGCCTATATTACTGAATGGTGTATCTCCCGTATATCCCCGTTGTTGTATAGGTTGAACCCCCATTTTCATAACCCGCAAACAAAGTAAACAATCTGTTAGACTACCAAAGGTAACTATCCAACCCAAAAAGAACCCAAAAAGAATTATATACCCAGAAACATATATGATATTACAACAAATGGTACATACATATATAATATAAATATACATATGTATATACATATATATATATATATTCAACACATTAATTACACATGTCAAATATCCCGGATTTTTGTTCTTCCTGCCGCACCTTCCCACGCAGCTCGGGGTGTGCTCGCACCGCCACGTGCTTGGCGCGGACCTTGAAGCGGCCCGCCGCGCCCATGGGAAGACAGGACCAGGTCACCGAGGTCACCGGCTGCAGCTCCTGGAGATGGCCACCCTTCAGGGTAAATCATGTTGGTTAATCATCATGAAATTACCATGTTGGTTAATGTTGGTTAATGTTAATGGTTAATAAATCAAACATTTCATAGGTTAATCGGTTAATCATCTTTGAAAATCTTTGAAACCTGTTTTTTCTGGTTGGTGGTTGGCCTACCCCTCTGAACAATATGAGTTCGTCAGTTGAGATAATGAAATTCCCAATATATGGAAAAATGTTCCAAACCACCAACCAGGATATGATCGGGTGGTATATTGTGGTATAATATGATGATATGATGATAAATGATATGATACATGATGATGATATGGTTCGGGATATTATATGATATGATTTGATATGTGATATGATATGATTTGATATGTGCTATGATGTGGTATGAAATGATGTGATATGATATAATGTGATATAATATGGCATGATATAATACCCATTGATACCAAACCAATTATGTCTGGGTATTCACTGGATGTTGCAGAAAAAACTCGGAATTGAGGCTAGATCGGTTGTAATGATTGCTGAAATCATTGAACATGATAGTCATTGCCATGTTGAATCATTGGTGTTCCATTTTCTGTTGTTGAACAACAATTCAAAAGGCAAAAGCGCACACACACAACATCAATCGTCGGAGTCACTTGGGTATGCGTCAAAACTCTGGTTTTCAGAATTGCTGGGATGCATGGATGATTAGCTATTCAGCCATTCATAGCCACCAGACTTTTGGCTGGTGCGTTGCAACGCCTCCAAAAACCCTTCGTTTCTATCCTTTTGAAGTCTTCCTGAAGGTTTCTGCTCCAGATTTTCCTAATCCCATTTGTCTGAAATTATGGTTGAAATCCCATGGTTTATCATCATGTTCTATAATGGTCTTCAAAACCTACGATTTTGATAAATTTTGATCCACGTTAGGACTTTCCATTAGAAAAAAACTTCTGTTTTTGATATCCATAGTTCTATTATGTTCTATTTCTCCAAGGATTAGCCTCAGATTTTTCCAGTTCCATATGATCCAGCGGTGCTTGGCTGCACCTCCAAAGGCAGGTAGCCCCGATCTCCGAGGACTCCCAGGGTTCGACAGCTGCAGGGCAGCAGCCGCAACCATGGGCCCTGCCACACCAGCGTCGCGTGGGGAGGAGATTCCCCGTGGTGAAGACATGCTTCGAAGCTCCGATCCTTCGAAGCCCTTACAACTATGGTGAAAACATAATTGTCCACTTAAGACATCTTTTACTTGGATATACGAGTTAGTGGTAATATCCATATGAGCAATCTCGAAAACCCTAGGTTCACGGAAAGCACATCCACAAATTTGGGAAGGTCCCATCGCTTACCACACGTTTGTACACTTGGGGGGTATCGCTTGCAGGAAACTGCTACATTTATATATAATTCACAGAAATCAACGTCCAATTTGGCTATCGCTAATTTGGATATTAGAGAAATACAATGACATAACCATAACCTTGAAAAGGGGTATCGCCAATTTGGGAAGGTCCCATCGCTTACCGTGTGTTTTTTAGCAATTTCCATCAATTTCCATAAACCAATGTCCGTCCAATACATATATATTTAGTATTGCCGGGGTTTTTGCGGTGGTTCATATGAAGCAAGTCAGTTTTATGTGGGATATACCAGAGTTATATACGGGTTATTGACCAACTTACTAGCTGGGATGGAGCCAATCCAAGCCAGAAAACCAGTTTGGATTTTTGAGGCAAACTTGGTTTGGCGAATGCAGAATTTGATAAACAAATGGATATAAAGATTGATGGGGCCATTTTTCATAGGCGACAAATGAGACATTTTGGATTATTTCGCATGGAGATGGGTTTTCAAGAGTATTTCAGGAACGAAAAGGGTGTTATGTAACCTTCCTGTCCAGAATTTTCACCAAAGAAATCCGCGTGTGGGCCGTGTGGGTGTGTCTTGCTGGTGGAGATACAGCAGGTGTCAGAAGTTTTGCTCCAAAACCTCTGGAAAGTGCACGCATGTTGCCATGACAACATATTTGCACTACTTCAGGGGGTATCGCCCCCTATCGCTCCCCACAGGAAATCATACATGTTTAAAAGTGACGGCGGCCGAATACAACATCTCTACATACAATCTTTTGACCTTTGCTCATATGTTTTGATCAGAAACTACCTAACAAGTCTGTTTGAAGCCAAAAGAACTATCTTGGGGAACAAAAACACACAAGATGATTGGAGGTCATCTAGATACCAAGAAACAATTCAATTTATAAAAAAAACAATTCAACAACAACACCCATATTGGTTTTGTATGGTTTTGTCATAAAATAGGCTGCTCCAAAACCCCTATGGTTTGGCACCATAATCTTTCTTAAATTCGCAACCTTATGGGTTTTACCACATTTTCAGACACACCCAAATCATTTTGTTGGCTACTCCCAATATATACCCACTGTCGGTGAATTCAGCATGTTTCTTGCTTAAATCTCCCAACTTTTCATCCTAAAATCGCCATCACCAAATTTCAGTCGAATTCATGAAAATCATGGAACAAATCATCGATTTACCATCAATTTACCACATTTTGCTCAAACAATCCATCCAAAATCCATCCAAAATCCCGGATCTCTCCATTTTCGCTGGTGAACTCCCTGATTTTTGCGCCTCCGCGACGCCCTGCACGACGGCCTCCCGCAGCACAACGCCCAGCGCCTCGCTGCCCGAATCTGGGGCGCGGAGCACAGGCAACGGCCGCAGCGCTTGGTGCGTTGACCTGACTGCCGGAAGTTGGCGGGAAAATATGGAGATTTTACCATGAAAACTGGATATTTTACCATGAAAACTGCGGATTTTACCATGAAAAATTGTGATTTGATCATGAAAACTGCGGATTTTACCATGAAAACTGGTGATTTTTCCATGAAACACTTGTCATTTTACCATACAAAATCATACAAAACCGGGATTATGATGATTTTACCATGAAAAACTGTGATTTGTGTGGGAAGATATGCTTTTTTTGTTTGGATTTAGCTTCCGGCAATGAAACATGGTTGGCAATGGGAAATCCTTGATGAAGTTTATAGCTGGGGAGATCATCTATCTATCGATCTATCGATCTATCTATCTGTCCTATCTGTCCTATCTGTCCTATATGTCCTATCTGTCCTATATGTCCTATCTATCCTACCTATCCTATCTATCCTATCTATCCTATCTATCCTATCTATCCTATCTATCCTATCTATGCTATCTATCCTATCTATCCTATCTATGCTATCTATCCTATCTATCCTATCTATCCTATCTATCCTGTCTATACTGTCTATACTGTCTATCCTGTCTATCCTGTCTATCCTGTCTATCCTATCTGTCCTATCTATCCTATCTATCCTATCTATCCTATCTATCCTATCTATCGATCTCTCTATCTATCTATCTAGCTATCTATCTATCTATCTATCTATCTATCTATCTGTCTATCTGTCTATATGTCTATCTGTCTATCTGTCTATCTGTCTATCTGTCTATCTGTCTATCTGTCTATCTGTCTATCTATCTATTTATCTATCTATCTATCCATCCATCTATCTATCTATCTATCTAATTAATCGATTAATAGATTAATAGATTAATAGGTGAATAGATCAATACATGAATAGATCTATCTATCTATCTATCTGTCTATCTATCTGTCCTATCTGTCCTATCTGTCCTATATGTCCTATCTATCCTATCTATCCTATCTATCCTATCTATCCTATCTATCTATCTATCTTCCTATCTATCCTATCTATCCTATCTATCCTATCTATCCCATCTATCCCATCTATCCCATCTATCCTATCTATCCTATCTGCCCCACCTATCCTATCTATACTATCTATCCTATCTATCCTATCTATCCCATCTATCCTATCTATCCTATCAATCCTATCTATCCTATCTGTCCTATCTGTCCTATCTATCCTATCCTATCCTATCCTATCCTATCTATCCTATCTATCCATCTATCTATCTATATGTCAATGGTTGATCTTCCATTGCCATGTTTGATTGCTGGAGGGTACCATGTGGGTCCCTGGTCTTCACATCAAATTTGGTGGGATTTATGGATGTTCATGTCCTTGCGGTAGAGGTATTGATCTCTAGATATTGGCATTTCACCATGAAGAGGTTGGAATTTCATGGGATTATCATGGGGATATGACAGGGACAGCCTGAAAATTGTGATCTTAACATCAAAAACGGAGATTAACCAATCAAGGATGCACCAACATATTTTGGATCAAACGGGCGGGGATTTTGCCATCGAAACTTGCGGATTTAATGGGGTTGTCATGGGCATATACATATGTATATATATATTATATGTACATAGATAGACACTGGGTTAACCTCAGAATGCTAATTAATCAGCAATAACGGTGGATTTTAACCAGCAATCATAGATATACCAACCAATAATGGCGATATTTGGGAGATGGGATTCTTTCGGTGTGTCTGAAAAGGGGTGCACCTCCCAATGCAAGGCCGTTCAATAGTAGGGGAAATCATGTTTAAACATCAATTTTGGAAGCATTTTCAGACAAACCCATGATTTCATCGTCTAATGTTGGGATTTGATGAGATCCTTTAAAGTTTAAACTTTAAAGTGGGAACAATCCAATGGGGATCGAACACGGTTGTCTGCAAATAGACAGCCCTAGATCCAGTGGTTGTCATCATTTCTCCAACAAAAACAACAATTTTGGAGGATAAATTTGCAATTTTCAGGCAAATCCAAATCATGTTAAGTTGATAGTTGATTAACGCCCCCAATATCCAGTCATATTAACAAATTCCATCATATATCCCCATGAATCCCCATGTTTGTGCGCTTACCCCCCATTGATGGATATTGATGGTTCGTTACCTTATTTTCCAGCTGGATCCAAGTCACACGTTTTCCCGCGGCTCTTCCTCGACCTGGTTCTTGACCGCTGCGTGCCTTGGAAAGTCACGTGCCACGTGATGTCAACGGGGTGCCACGTTCAATGGCTGGGTTCAATGAATCTGGGTTTTCCTGGAGATGTTCCCTTCATCCTTCTGGAACATATCGATCCATGAAGTCTGACATGGAATGACAAATTGTTCGACAACTGTGCTGTACGTTATGCCATGTCCATCCTCTTTTAACTTCTTGAAAGACAAATCCTAGATTCTGAGGATAGGGTGTGTTTATTATATCTTCAAAACATTTCAAGAGCAGGAACAAAGAAAAATAACAGGTGGAAGATGAGGTTTCGCACTTGCGTCCATGCAACCAGGCTGCCCGTTCAACGTGCCGTTCTCCGCGTCATTGATGCTAGGGCTAGCGGCCTGCGATTGGGTTGACACCTGGGTCAAAATGAGTGGTATCCCAAAAATTGCACCATCTGAGTAAGTCCATATGTGGCTCCAAGTGTGTGCAAGCATATATTGATTTTACCAAGTGACCAACAACTCAATGAAAACGAGAACGTTAAAGTGATTGGTTTCATCAAATTAGTTCCATCATCTGCGGATTGCCGGCTCAAAGTTTTTCCGGATGTAGCACTCAGGTTACTCAACTTGGTCCACAGTTGAAGGGATTGAAACCGACTCATATATGTCTAGACTTGGACTTGGATGTGCAACCCAGTCATTGAGTGAAGTCATAGGAAATCCTTAGCCTATGTATATATATATGTGTGTGTGTATGTATGCATATATATATATGCATGTATATATATATATAAAAATGTATATATATATATAATATTTATATGGACGGCTGAAACATGATCATGCACAACCTTGAAATCAGGCCATTTGGGGATGATTCCCCTGATCGAAACAAATATTCATATACAAATGCATATCATATATCTATAATTACATGTATACTCTTTTGGTTTATATATATATATGTATTACATATACTATAATCTATAAAAACGGCCAAACACCTCGTTTTGCCTGAGGCACTCTCAAAATACTGTAAATTATTGGTCATTCTGGCAATCCAGAAAAGCTCAGGTATGGGACCTTTGCGACATTGCACATGTCATCCTGAACCCTATCATATTGACACCGTTAAATCTTAAAATCTTGAACCCTACACCCTAAACTTCAAACATATAAAAAAAATATGTGAAAATCAAGGGAAACCCCTAAACCCAAAACACCCCTAAAACCATAAACCCAAAAGTGATGGGCGAAACACCCCGGCCTCCCCAGCCTGGCCCGCGGTGTCCGCGGTGCCTGTCACACCTGGCGCCCCGAAAGCTGAGTGTTGTCAATGTCTCTATGTCACTGATGTGGGTAAAACATGCTAAAACAATGCCATAAACCATCCATTTGGGAATGGTTTTATACCACCTATAAACATGGTGATGACTGGGGGATGGTTTATTTTTGTTTTACCCGCATTCTACATGGGTTATGTATATATTTAATGGGGTAAACCCAAACCCTAAACAATCCCCAAATGGGAGTTGTTTATTGATTATTGGGTTTATCACATGATATGTATATATATATATATATGTATAATTATATATATATCTATGATATAATGTGTATATATTTATATATGTTTGAGATATGAAATCTAGTTCCATCCAATCCTGGGCTGAAGGGTGTCTGGTACATGTATATATATATATACACATTCAAAACATATTGATTTGCTATGCCTATTTAAATGTGCGAAATATATCTACATAGAATTCTTTACATGGATATCGATATCTGTCTATGTATATCTATATAAATAGATTTGTATATATATATATTACAATAGTAACGCCCAACCAAAATTATTAAACAAAGAACGCAAACACACCACTATCTGTGTGGGGTTGCTCTATAATATATATATATATAATGAGAATAGAAGGTGGTGCCCACAATTACAATTTGGTTTATAAGCTTCATTAGGTAGTTCGATATATCGACCATAAACCCTGCAGTAGCAACCCCCGAAAATAGCAATGTCAATGGCAACGATGATAATTCATCAGAAATATATAATATTATAATATATAATATAATATATTATATATCGTTTCTCCCACCTTCCGAGCTTCTCTTTGCGGCGGCTTCTCGGTCTGCTTCCAACTTGGCATCTCCGTTCACCTCGGTTTGCGTAACGATAAAAATGCGGAGGCATGCCATGGACCCACGGTTGCTGTGAGTGTCGGGGAGAAAATGCCACTGAAACAAAGGTGTATAATGGTGTATGCAATATATGATTCATGTATAAACTATATATGTATATAAGTATACATATAAGTATGTATGTATGTATGTATGTATATATATAATATTATATATTATGTAACTATAGTGAATGAATGCATATATATATATATTTAGATATAAACTGTAGATGACAGTGGATGTTCTGATCTTGTCTGAGATGTAAATCTCATCTCCTGGGGACTATACTGGCTGCCCAAGGCCCTGCAGCTGTGCCACGTCCACGGAGGGTTGCGTGATGAGACATGCTATGGCATAGATGGCCCATTTACCCATAACCAATGGTGATTTTCCATAGCAATGTTAAGTTAAATTAAGATGTAATTTGTCGGATATGTCAAGCCTCCCCACCCAGCGCCAAACGCCGTCAAATTCACAATTCTCTTTTCCTCCTCGATTTGTCTCTGTCTCTCTGGGTCCTCATGCGAATTGCACAGGTTCGCACCAACTTGGCTTCCACTGGAATCATTCAACTCCTCTGGACTCTTGTTGATATCAGCTTGTTCATGGCTTTGGCCTTCTTGGTCTGGCTGCGGGCATTTCCCCTCCTCCTCGTCTCTTCTGCTTAGCTGACTTGCCGGCTCTTCCCCCTCCTTATCCACAGCCACATTGGCAGTCATCGCATCCTCCACGGATCTTTGGGCCTCTTTTTCTTTTTCCGCTGTGACCTCCTCCTCCTTCTTCCTCTGTCTGGCTTCCTCTTCATTCATTTTCGTTTCCTCTTCCTCCTTTCTTTGCGTTTCTTCTTCCTGTTTCCTCCGGGTCGCTTCTTCCTCTTCTTCCCTCCTTTTGGCTTCCTCTTCTTCTTCTTTCCTCTTCTTTTCTCTCGCTTCTTCTTCTTCTTGTCTTCGTTTGGCTTCTTCTTCCTCCCTTTTCTGTCTGGCTTCTTCTTCTTGCTTTCTTCTGCTTTCTTCCTCCTCCTTTCTTTTCCTGGCTTCTTCTTCTGCCTGCCGCTTTTCGGCTTCTATTCTTTTTGCGGCTTCCTCTTCTGCCTGCGGCTAGACGATGGAATCCTAACTGTGGGTTCCCAGGTCCCCTAGACTCCTAGACACCAAAATGGCTTGGATGGGGGAAGAAGAAACATGAAGACACCATTTGACGCACTTGAGACGTCTGACAGCAGCTCTGAAAACAGCAGCTGGCAACTGCCTTTCTCTTCTCTTCTGCCCTTGCCGCCATTTCCTGCTCTGAGTCCAAGGCACCAAAAATACTGCAAGTGCTGTTTTCTTTCACCAACACGCAGAACATCTCGTAGGTTTATACATACAGGACCACAAACCTGGGAGGAACAGCATGGTCATACGATCATCCTTTCAATATGCAGACCATGATTCTAGGATAAAGCAACGGATGATGTATTTTGCAGGCCCACAAAATATAGATCAGTCCAATCACGCATACTTACCAATTCGGGATCCAATGGTATCAACATTGCATGGTTGATGTTTTGAGTGCCCTGGGAACGGCAATTGTTGGAAATCTTAAACACCGGCAAACATGTTGGTCAATGTTGGTCGCGTGTTGCACCAAACTGACCAAACCATTGACATCTTTGTTGGGGTTCAACCTGTGTTTTTGTTGACTCCCCAGCACGATGCTCTTGAAACCCCCAATTCTTGGTAGTAAACACGTATCATGAATCAAAGGCTGAACTCTGTACAGTTTGTCTCCCCAAGATTATACGAGACCTCATTTTCCCATCAAATTGCCACAAGTTGGGGCAAATCATCCGTTGCTGGACAATCCCATCCCATGTTATCCACCATTTGCCATCCCCCAAATGAACGTAGACCCTGCCATCAGTCGGGGGCTGCAAGATTAGCTGCCCCTGGGAATTGGCAATTTTTGGCGTTTACGTCAATTTCTGGCTGAATAATAATTCACCAGCCTGAAAAGCAGCTGTTATCATACGGCCTTTTGGTGATGATTCCCCATATATAAACCATCATTCCAATGACGTCACAGGGAGATCACGATAATTCATCCAGATAGATACCATGCCCAATTCTGTCCACAATTGATATGTATTCCCCATGTTTCCCCATGATATGGGGCTTTCTTAAAATGAGGGATCACCAATTTTTTTCCGCATGGCTTTCAACACATTTTGGTCCAATGACTTGGATGATTTAGAAAAACCTCCCCTGCCCTGGTTGAATCCCCCGCCACCTCAATAGTCGGCACTCCGAAGTAGCTACCAGGTGGTGCGCCGCACAGGCCTTCCACCTCGAAACCAAGGGGGAAGGCTTCACCACAATGGGGATAAATGGGATATAAAACAATATAAAATAAAATCATATAAAATCAAACATGATTATGGGATTATCTGTGGAAACCAACGAACAATATCATAAACAAATCATCAAAAATTACCAAAACTGAATCAACTTGATATTTGGGTGTATCTGAAAATAGGGTATATCGGTATACTATACCCCAAAAATGGCACTTTTCAAATGTGATGATACACTGATACACCATCAACCCTATTATCAGACAAACTAAATGGGAATTGTGAGTGTTTTTACATAGGGGTTTAACGGTTTAACCAACAATGGTGGCTTAACCAACAATAATGGGGATGTAGTGAGGGTATAGTAGGTATATGACCAACTTATACAATATGTTGGATCATTATTGGTCTGTCTGAAAACAGTGGATTCCTATAAGCTTAACCATGTAACCAACAATAGTGAGTGCATATTGGGTATATGAAGCAACACAATGAAATCGGTCTGTCTGAAAATGGGATATACCCAATATGGGCGTGTTCTTTTTGCAATCTGAATGGGGGTAATATGGGATACTATTGTGGCCCAGTCATGTGTCGGGTTCTTATTGAGGAGCTGAAGCTAGCAGATATAGCAACCGGCAACCCCAACAAAAACTCATTAGTTAGCACTTTTTGAGGATTTAATTTTACATGTCTACCTTTTTGGATTGTTTTACAAATCCTCACGAAGTGAGCCGGTTGCAGCATGAATCCGCAAATCAGTGATGACCATCCTTCTATTCCTGGCACGGAACATGAAACATATTGAAACCACTAACCATTAACCATGTTGGATGGACCATGTGGTTCTCAATTTCAGAGCTTCTGGATTTGGATTGAAATGAACTGCCATCATGTCAGACCATGATGATTGTTCTCTTTTGGGTACCCTTCCTCCTCAGAAAATCTGTCAGCTGAGCATGGTCCAGAACGAGTCTGTCTCTTTAGGAGATACACCCAAATGGCCATTGGGAACAAGCCACGAAAAGCCATTGGATTTTGGGGTAGACAACCCCTATATATTGTTCATTCTTTTTGTAGGCCATTGGTCCCAGAACCATGGTGACAATCTGAAGCCCAAAAGGTTCCTACGCCCGGCACCCCTAGCAGCTGGTTTGGAACTATACTAGGTACTTGGTTCCCCAAATTCCAAGTTATACCCCCCGCCCCGCGAACTAACCTAGACTCTAACGAACAACCAATGTTTAGAGGAAAAACGTGTCTTCTAACCCCTGTAATTGGCAAGGTAAGCGGCCTCGTGGCAGCAGGAGCGAACATACTCATTCTCAGCGAACTGCCTGGCGATCCCAGTGAAAAAGCCTCACAAGGAGTGAATTTCTTTGAGCTAAGTTTTCATATCCAAAGGTTTCTTCTTCAACAACTGGGGATTCGTACCCCATCGTACCCCTCAAGCTATGGCTAAGGATTGAAACTATATAGAGATCTTTGGGAGAAGCCCAAAAATAAATCCCAGCGATTCTGGGGTTGTCAAGGAACGGCCCTGGAAGCGGCTGATCTCTTTGAGTGATCATTGATTTATATGGATTTATCAGTTTGGTGTTGGTGATTTCAACCAACTGAAGAGTATGAGTCAGGTGGGGATTAGTTCTGTCCCAAAATAGGCTTGGTTTCTTTCCAAATGATTGAGACACATTTTGAGACCACACCAGATCATCAGTAGTTTTATACCCATGATATTTGCCATCCTCTCCCCATGTTAGATTCTTCTCCAACTGGGAAGCACTTCTGTGGTCCGCCCAGCTGATCCCAGTGGCCTAATGCCAGTCTTCATGGCTTCATAGCCAGCCTGTGCCCACGGCCAGCGAGCTGAAAAAGCCACGGCCGATGTGTCAAAACGCTGTAAACCCTGGTGAACATCAAGCTGCAAATGGATGTAATGGATGTTCATCCCTTTAGCTGGCATTAATCCAGTAAAGGATTTCAGGATCTTGGACTTGAAACGACCAGTTTGGGCTTCTGGAGATTGCTCTTTATCATATCATGTATATGTAATTGTGAAATATTCACCGTGCATATATACTGTGTATATATATAATACATATATTAGAGTATTATACCACATACGATTGTAGCAAATCAAGATTTCTGTTGATGTCTATTTTCCAACAGCACGTGGCTCGTGGCTCGACCGCGGCCACCCTTGCCTCTGTGGGAGGAAAATCGAAGCGTTTCAGGATGGGATTCCACTCCTGGCTACCAGGAACTAGGGGAAAATCCATAGGAACCAATGTTTTTAGAGGCAAAAACGATGGAAAATTAGCATGACCATGGAAGATCATCATTTTTAGAGGCAAAAACTATGCTGAATTACCAGAAGGTAGCTATTCAATGATAGTAGATTCCCATTCAAAAATGGGTGCAAACCGCGGTTTCCTGTAGATTTTCGCTGAAACAAACTCAATGAGAGTGGGAATGGCCACCCATCAGGAATGGCTTTGGGGCACCTCAATGGTTTTGCGCCCAAAAAAGGGGTGGGAAAAACTGACGACCATCCAGTAAGCAAACATGGCTAGCTGGCAAAGTGCCTCTTAATTGAGGTTTTAATTGTGAAAATCATGTATATAAACCTTGGGAATCAAATGGGAAATTCATCTATAAATGTGGGGTTCTCCAGCAAACATCAATAAAGCATGTTTGATTACCAGGTCAGCCAAGCGCAAACTATCTGACCTTCTGCTCCACAACTTCCCATCAGGCTTACTGGCACAGCTGAACGGATATGGAAATACTCGTAGAATCATTGTAGGAAAACGAATAATAACCACCCAACATACCATTTGTTTGGATCATTTGGGGGATGCATGAAAAACCATACCTTCAAAACGGGTTTATCGCGTGATTCGACTTTACCGCATTGTCAGAAATGCATAGACATGCTATATAAATCTCCAGAGTTGGGTTTGTCTGAAAATGATGGTTCATCAACATGTATCATTCAAAATTCAAAACGGCCATTTGGGAAGTATACGCCATGTTGCCGACCCAGATCACACGAAGTCCTTTGTATATTTCATTATAACCCCCACTGTATTACCAGATCTGTTGACTCAATCACCATTTTCCTGGGTTTATTCTATTACATCTGCAGATGTCATGTCACATGTTACCTGCAGATCTTACGAACCATAGTATTGTACAATCTATCAGTTATACATAGATTCAATCACCAGTTTACATTCTATGACTGCCGTGACTGCCGTCGTTTTTTTTAGGTACATCTTTTCACATGTCATATCATGTCATGCCATCGACATTCCCCGATGAACCCATCGCATCCTGTGTGATGAGAACTCGTCGATGCTGATCCATGTGAACGCCTCCCTTTTGCTCGATGTTCTGCATGGTCCTGGTCGATGGTGCCAGGAAAGTTGGGGATGGCCTGGTGCAACATGGTGCCATGGATGTTTTGCCACAAAACCCTCCGGTAATAATGGTGAATGGTTAATAATGGTTATAAATGGTTAATAATGGATAATAATGGATAATAATGGTTCATAATGGTCAATCATGGTTAATACTTGTTAATCATGGTTCATAATGGTCAATCATGGTTAATGGTTAAGAGTGGTTAATAATGCTTAATAATGTTTAATAATGGTTAATACTGGTGATGAATTGATTTACCCTCCGGTGTCATCAAACGCGGCCAGCTGGGAAATCCCCGAACTAAATGAAGGTTTATAGCTGGGAAACTATCAATGATGGATTTTCCAGCAAACCATGCTTGATTACCGGAGGTTAAAGAGGATGGTAATCTCCCCAGTCGTAAGGATTTTTGTTGGTCCTTATTATATGAGGATATTATGGCATTGATGACCATCAAATATCTTCTTCTGAGCATGTAAAAAATATGGATCTGCCTGAAAACTGGATCAACTGGGACCGGAATCCCTCAATCCCTGGCCATCAAATCTTGGGAAAAATGATGAGAAACCATGATAAACCATCAAAATTGGAGGTACCTATTTCCAGACAAAACTGTGGATCCCTGATGGAATCCTTGGTGATTTCAGTGGATCTTTGCTTCAGAAAGTGTCAAGCAAGTACCCCATAGACATAGGCAAGTTTCTTGCCATGAAATCAGTTTCTGTATGATAAACAACTCCAATTTGAGGATAGTTTATTCAATGTTTATTCCTGGGTTTACTAACCAGATTGCCTCATTCATTCGTTCATTGGGGATGGTGGCATTGGGCATGCGGATCGCCTCACCTCATCACAGTGGGAGAGAGCAATGCTTCTCGAAAGGCCTGGTTCGCAGAATTTCTGACACAAATTGGGGTTGGAACCGCTGGAACCGTTAAGAAAAAACACACGAACTATGAATTAAGGTGGATTAGGATGAATTAATGTGAATTAAGATAACTAATGTGAATTAAGATGAACTAAGATGAATTAATGTGAATTAAGATGAATTAATGCAAATTAAGATGAATCAAAAAAAATAATCTGAAATAAGATGAACTAATGTGAATTAAGATGAATTAATGTGAACTAGTGTGAAATAAAATGAATTAATGTGAATTAAGATGAATTGATGTGAATTAAAGTGAATCAAGATGAATTAAGATGAATCAAAATGAATCAAAATAAATCACGATCAATTAAGATGAATTAAGATGAATCAAGATGCATTAATGTTGTCTAGCCAATAGTGATATCTTGTCAATAGTAGAAACATTTTGCCGCAAATTGCCGCAACTCCAATTTTTCTCCAATACTAAAAGTCAATTAGCTCCATTTACTTTTAGTATTGCCAAAAGAGTCATGTTCAGACCTTGTCCAGAGGGCATGGCCAATAGTGGACCCAACATGGCAATAGTGGAAACTGTTTTCCCAACTCCTATTTTTTCTCCAATACTAAAAGTCAATTAGCTCCATTTACTTTTAGTAGTGCCAAAAGAGTCAAGTAAAACAAATCCTTTTCAAAGCAGCCTTCACTTTTGATTAGCAAAAGCTTAGATTCCAGAAATCTGATCCAATTACCAAACAGCTGATTTCCTTATAAAACCCTTATTTACAAAAAACAAAAAAACAGGTCCACAAAGGGTGCCCCCTTTGCAAGCCCCAGAATAGCAATAACAAACCTGCACCAGGCATGGCAATAGTGGAAACTTTTTTCCGCAACTCCAATTTTGTTGTCCTCCTTCTCCTTCTCCTTCTCCTTCTTCTCCTTCTTCTCCTTCTTCTCCTCCTCCTCCTTCGCCTCCACCACCTCTGCCCCCACTTCCATGTCCACTTCCGCTATAAGGTTCCAAAAATCCATACAGAATCTAACAGAAACCAACCCTAATCCATGCAGAACCTATGCAGAACATCTCAGAAATCCAACCAAACCCTATGCAGAATCTAACAGAAACCCAACAAAACCATGGAGAATCTATCAGATACATATCATGATCCCAGCTATAGATTCTCAAAAATTATTATAGGAAGGTTGACCCCCCCAAAAAAAATAGGGGGAGGGGTAATTGGTATTAGGCAGCCAACATTAATGTGAATTAAGATGAATTAATGTGAATTCAGATTAACTAGTATTAATTATATAATTAAGATGAATTATGAAGCGTTGAACATGGCCTGAAACCGTGAACATGTGAATCGTTACTGAGTGCTTCATCATAGCTGCAAACTTGTTTCCAGTCCAAGTTTTAGCTGCAGGCTAGTGACCTGAACCGCCTCAACTTGACAAACAAATACACCCACATGCATTGCGAAGATAACATAAAATAACTACATGGCGCACGACCTTTAATTGGCCGTGGTACAATCTGCATTCTGAAATCTCAAAACAGTGTCTGGCGTTGTGGCGTCGTAGCGATTTTGATATCTTAGGTGTGAAAATCAGGGTTTTGGAATTTGACAAAACTATTTTTTTTGCACATCATCTGCGTGTCTGAAGTTCCAAGAACATGTTAAAACAGTAGCATCAAGAGCGTGTCTGAAGTTCCAAGAACATGTTACGTAGCATCTAGGGCGTGTCTGAAGTTCCAAGAACATGTTAAAAGCGTAGCATCAAGAGCGTGTCTGAAGTTCCAAGAACATGTTAGAAGCGTAGCATGTTCAAAGAACATGTTAGGAGCGTAGCATCAAGAGCGTGTCTGAAGTTCCAAGAACATGTTAGGAGCGTAGCATCAAGAGCGTGTCTGAAGTTCCAAGAACATGTTAGGAGCGTAGCATCAAGAGCGTGTCTGAAGTTCCAAGAACATGTTAGGAGCGTAGCATCAAGAGCGTGTCTGAAGTTCCAAGAACATGTTAGAAGCGTAGCATCAAGAGCGTGTCTGAAGTTCCAAGAACATGTAAGAAGCGTAGCATCAAGAGCGTCTGAAGTTCAAAGAACATGTTCGAAGCGTAGCAACAAGAGCGTGTCTGAAGTTCCAGGAGCATGTTAGAAGCGTAGCATCAAGAGCGTGTCTGATATTCCAAGAACATGTTTGAAGCGTAGCATCAAGAGCGTGTCTGAAGTTCCAAGAACATGCTAGAAGCGTAGCATCAAGAGCGTGTCTGAAGTTCCAAGGACATGTTAGAATAAAACAAAGAAGCGCGCGACAAGAACGTTATTACACCCCCCCACCACCCCCAACCCCACCCCAACCCCAGAAATAGACAAACATGTACAAAAACGCCAAGGGCGTGTGCCTCCGACTACATAAGTAACGTAGCATGAACAATGTCAAAAGACAAGTAACGCGGCATGAAAGATGTCAAAAAACACATAAAACCACACGGCCAAATAAAGGTCGTGCTCCAACTACATACACTACATCTAAAGATATCTAAAGCCACCCACCATAGATTCAGATGTTGCAAACATGGCTGCAGTGGCACCTTGAGGATTTCTTTGGCCTCGCCCAGGAACATGGTCCGTCCCCGGAGGTCCGTAGGCACCTGGTCCAACGACTGACCAAATGGAGGTGTCCTAAGCTGGGAGTAGCTCTGACTAATGGATGGTTTGTTTCATGGATCCCAAAATATGGATGATGTCTGCGGTACCCCCATGCACTTGGAACATAGGACACCTCCAAATGGCGCTTGGAACACCTTTTGAATCGAAAAAGACTTTGTCAATGACCTCATGGAGAGACCTGTGGAGCTGACAGACAAGGCTATGCAGGCTATGGCTTAGACGTGCGACAGCTGTATTGAAAATCAACGATACTCACCGAACAATGATCGAAAGACATCACATTTCATTCATTTTCTGTGCCTAGTGGGGCTGCAGTACATCTTGTTTACAAAAGACATGCTGATTGAATGATTGGACTGATTGCTTACTTGCTTGATTCACACATCTTTATATATCTGTGCAATTTAGGACATATACATTTTCATCTTTCTTGCAGATCATTCCCCCCACTCACCATCATGGTGAGCTCGCGACGTCACGTGTATCATTTACCCAGGCTTTGTCTGAGTGGGTATCCCAAGATCCGTTGGACTAGTGCAGATCATTGACACGTTATATAGAACTGATTATAATTGTCCAGTTCAAATTGCCACAATTTCGAATATTTCACATTTTTGGACCAACCATGACCAACCCATCTCATAGCATCCCCATATTCCTATGATTACCCGTTGGTTTGGCGAATCCCCTGTCGCTGGCCTTTCCGTTGGAGACAGTGGCGTTTGTCTTCCCATTGCTCTTTCCCTAGTACCCAGCAATGCAGCAAGGCAGGGCTGTGGTGAGACTTAGAAAATCACAGAAATCAATGAATGGAAAAAAGAACACGTCGGCGGCTGACACCAAATGGACTACCACCTGGAAAACAACATGATTCTATGTCTAAACTGTTTAAAGTTCTTCAAGAATGATCTCATGGGTCTGTCTGAAAATAGGATATGCCCGCAAGAATTGCACTTGTATGAGGGAACATGATGCTTACCACATGGATTTCGGGGTACCGTTTTCCAGGGAACTCATTTTTCTGGGTCAGGAGTCTTGGAAGTCCGCAGGTGTTTGCCCGGTCTTGCCGGCATCCAAGGCTGCGGTCATGGGGGAATGAAAACAGGTTGATTGGCCGTGAACAGGTGACACGGGAACCTATATGTAGATATGTATATGGTCACCGACAGAATTATGAAAAAAAACAACGTTCAACTTAGACAGGCGGCGCCTGCGTCCGATTTTTCCATAATTGGATTTTTCCCATAAGGGTTCAAAATATCCCGGAAGTGATCCGAACCTTTTTTTTTCCATAATTCTTGGAGGTGGCCATTATTTCCATAATTGATTTTTCCTGTGAAATCAGGGGGCTAGGGCAGATTGACCGGTTTTACCATAATTATTTTTTCCATAATTTTTTTTTCCATAATTAATGTTTGGGGCTCCACCTGTTGGA